GGTGTAGGTGGTCTTTCACGAAGAATGAGTGGAGGTAGTTGTGGAGGTGCTGGTGCTTGTTGTCTGATACGAAGCGGTGGTAGAGGAGCAGGTGCAGGTGGACGCACTTCTTTGATGATGAGTGGCTACAGATATACAATGATTATTGAAAAGAAAAGAAAATGCTGAATTTAACTTACACCTGCTGATGCAACATGTGGCGGTTGTAAAAAGCGGATTCGTATGTGTTGTGTATAGGTTTCAGTACCAGCAGGTATTTGTCGTCGAATGATTTCTGGATTTGGATCGACATAGAGACCAACGCCTCGTACTTCAGCACCATATCTGGACCAAGCTGCATTGGTTTCAGCAGTATAACTAGCGGCTTTACTAAGTGCTGAAATATCATAATCACTGTTTCCTTCATATGTTGTTGAATGATAGGTACCACTGACGCCTCCATAACCAACACTTCCACTATCAATAATACCACCACCAGATGAATGTCTTAATGTTTCATACGACGACGATTTATGTTTACCACCAACTATCGCTGCTAATTCATCACGGTCAATTACACCATCGTTGTTGGTATCAACTTGATCAAAGATTTCATCTGCATCAGTACTATTTTTTGACGACGAATATGTATATTCGTGCTTGGATGTCATGCTAGTGTAGACGTGTTATTGTAAGTGAAGAATGGCAAATGAAATATTAAAGATAGAGCATCATTTATATACTAGTTAATAATGCGCTACCTCTATTTTTCTTCATCTCTCTCTTTCTCTCTCTGTTTTTCATCTTCTTATGCGAACACCTTTACAGCATTGATGCTCCTTCCTTCCCAGTCCATAATTTCTCAATACAACAAAAATTGTCGCTATATGGCAACATTGGATTGAAGAGGATTGATCATGTATGTGATTTATAGTGTATTCTTGTTTCTTCTTCTCTCTCTCATTTTCTTCTTACCTCAAATATTTGATGGGTTTTTTTTCGTTCTTGTCAAATATTGATTAGAGAAACAGTATCAGCGTACATCATCCAGCTACCTATTACACATACCATTATCAACAACCAAACCACAACAAACGAGATTCTTTTTTTTGCATGAAAAAATCTTACTACCGAGCATAAACAATAGCTTATACATTATCGATAGATTCAAGATTAGAGTACGTCTTATTTTTTGCTTAAGAATATATTTCTGAGACCGCTTTTTACATGCTGTTCACAAATATAATTTTATTTTTTTATTTGCATCGGCGAAAGTATAAAATGAAGCGATATAAAAATTTTATTGAACAAAAAAAAATATAATTAGATTCGTGATCAACGTGAAAAAGTGGATTGAGAGTGCTCTTATTTAGAATTTCTGATATTTTACATTTGAGCCAGTGGCACATTCAAAAAATCGTAGATGAAGTTTGTATCAATAGGTGTATCATCTTCGAATGATACAACTCAAGTGTATTGTGTAACTACCGAAAGTTTGCTGTGATATGACCTTGTTTTTTGAGTATTCTCTCTCGTTCCTTCCCTCTTCGAATTGATTGTATCATTTTCTTATTACTATTCTAGTATTTAAGCTCGTATTGTATATAAGATAGATACATTTGCATATAAAGCATACTTGACATAAACATCGTATTGTAAGCCACTTCAAATATGCGTCTCCATTTGTTGTTACAGTTATTTTTTGTTGTTGTTAGTTTAGGATATATACAGATATACGATATCGTATTTCTGCTGGTTTAGAAATCTGAGGATATATAATATGTTATTGATGCTAGTTTAAGAAATAAGAGGATATATGATATCTTGTTGTTGTTGTTCATTTGTATACGGTAAAGAAAATTGATCTTGAGATTGTATTTAAGTGAGACTGTGGGCGTGTGTGCAGTTGAAATGCGGCTTTATGCGTAGATTTACAATATATTTAAAAACCATTCATATGCACACCCTCAAGATGGTAAAAAATTATAAATCTAATGCCAACTTTATTCAAAAGTCATCTCATTCCGAATAAACAATGCATATATGTTTTCGTCAGTTGTATTGCATTGTAAAATCGAAACTGAATTTTCTGTGCAATTTGAACAAGACAAATAAAGAAACTTTTCGTTTTTATAGTAGTTTGATTTGATATTCAGCCTAAAATTTTGATTTTTTTTTGGTCACGTAATATTCGTACAATGTAATCAAAATAGGGTGTGGAATTCATGATTCATCTACATCTGCACCCACATCCTTATAAGCAGCGATATTTTGAACACCATCACTAGGTTTTGATTTCCAAAAACAAGGCACACACATACTACAAATTCAGTATTTCGATCATCTCGTAACAACAATCCATTTATCTAAACAGTTTGATGAAAATCAATGAGAGGCGAACTATTTTCATTTTCGTATGTGAGTTTATCATATTTTTTGTATCTTATACAGAAGACCTAATCATATTCTATAATTAAATAAATAATATATAACTATTTTTAATAACTAGTTGTATGTAAAGATATAGATGAATTTATCTAATTTAAATAAAATATTGAAACTTTATGCTTTATTATTTATCGATTATCATGCATTTTGTAAATTGAAAAAGAAACTAAATGTTTATTTTCTTTTTTAGAAACATATTCAATTGATTATAAAGAAGATTAAAAATATTTAATAAAATAATCGTATTCTTCTTTCCATTTAATAGATGGATTACAATAGCTGAATAAAAAATATTTTAGATTTCAAATGGATTTTTTTTAAAATCCTTATCAAATCCATCAGAAATAATAAATGTAGCGTATATTTTATTAATTCATCGTAAATCGATATTATTATCGAACATAACAGGTTATGATATAAATATTACCGATAAATCGGAATGATTAATCACGATCAATCGTAATCTTTTTTTATCAGGTGCAACGTTTTTAGTATTTTACCAAAAATGTGACATATATACTCATAAATTATATTTTAAGAATATTAGACTATGTTTTAGGCGTTTAATCACAATAAAAAAAATTATTATTAAAATTGGTGTCAGTAGTATTGCATTCATTTGGTTGAATAATCGTTATATAGGTCAATGTCTCGTCTATTCTTTATAGTCATTATTTAATTAAACATAGTGTACGAACGTTTAATTCGACTGCTCTTTGATGATTTATTATATTCTACCTATTATAAAAAATAGTTATTGAGAAAGTCAGATATTTTGTATGATTTTTCTATGAACGTTTAGTTATATTTATTATTCTTTTATTATAATTTCGTACATATTATCTAACTAATTCGGATATTCTGTCATTGATTGCTTTCTTTTTACATCTTCATATTATGTGTGTATTGTAACTATGATACTTTACCACATCTCTTTATGTGTTATTTATAAATTTTTTTTCTTTATCTATTGTATTTATATTTTATGAATGATGCGTGTAGAAGAGTATACATCCTTTTTTTTATTATTACTTTTACTGTAACAGATGATTCAAATAGTTAATTATTTTCAAATAAAAGATAATTGAAAAATCTAGATGTATCCAATCGGCTTTTAATAAAAATACTGATTAATCATCGACTTTTGAACGATTTTCATGACCCACATCTTTAAGATATTTATCGAATTTCCAAAACGTTAAGTGTATAGGGTCAAGTCAGTCATAGTCGACTAACATTTATTTATTTTAAATATTATATTACAGAAAAATGAGTAAAAAATTATATTGTTTTTATCTTAAAAGATGATGATGAATATTTTAATAATATCCTCCACCATATCCATATGGATTTCCAAAACCACCACCAAATGGAGCACCGCCGAAGCCACCGCCGAAGCCTCCATTATTCATAAAATTTCCGAGTTCATAGCCGCCGAAAGCACCTAATCCTGCATCAATAAGTGGACTACCAAAACCGGTATGACGTCCGATTTCATAGCCAGCGAAAGCACCTAATCCAGCATCGAGAAGGGGATGATGATGATGATGCATATTGTATTGATATTTGTTTAAATAATCGTCGAATGAAATAAGAATGTTATTAACGAGAAGCTTTAATTGTCGTATTTATATGCTTGTTCTATATGAGAGGTGCGTCATTAGATTATTCATAAGTAGGTGTATAATCACGAGCGATGATAAAACCCCCATTGATTCATCCTCTCCTTGAATTATTGCACATTTATTCATTTATTTTCTCTTTGTCGTTAAACATGACGTACGAATAGAGGTATAAGTCGTTAGCCGATTTTTGCTGAAGCCGACGGCTAGCAAGTAACGTTTTTGCTAGAGCCGACGCACGAACATATACGTAAACGAAATATTATATATAACTTACACGTCATACGAAGGGTTTTACAGTAAACCATCGAATTATTTTATTTTTATTACGTAGTTCTAAACTCAATATATTTTTAGCTTCAAAAACATACGTGAAAAATCTTTAAAGTTTTTTCTTCACTAAAAAGAAGTGAATTTTCATAATTGAGATAAAAAATTTTGATGATTTTTAATAGTCAGTTGCGTGAAAAACAAAAACGGTTAAACAAGTCTCTATATGTTGATTGATCACTGCTATCTACTATATTATCACCTGCGATTCTTTTATCTTAAAGCTCCGACAAAAAAATATATATATTTTTTATGAGTCCTCGTGAAAAGTATTTCTCATCTGTACTGTTTCCGGATTTTTTAATGCTGACAGCTTTTCCGATTACAAATAGTCATACAACGATATTAGTGAGTCATCGCTTCATTATCACTATTGCATATGTGGTCATAACAGTATACGTTTCGATCTTGAAAATACAATCTATGGTAAAAAATACTTTCAAATACAGAAAATATACGAGCCGTGATAAAAAAAACTCTTGAGGTTAGGTATAATTATCTATACCCTCAAAGAAATTTGAAATAAGTTAAATTTAATTAACAGACAAGAGAAACGATTTACTATAGTGTATATACTGACTGATAATAGGCATTTTTATTTCAAATTAAAAGCATATTCCAGATATTTAAAATATCCTTTGATTGAGATGAAAGAATCTGAGAATATTATTCTCAAATCGTCTTTGCTATGAAATTTTCATTCATTAAATGTGTTTAGTTGCAACAAAATTCAATTTATTAATCAGATTTGTATAATTCTAGAATATTTTTTCATTTTCTTTCAAATAAATTTTGTATTAAAATGAACTCTATAGACGGTTAACTACCATTTCTATTTGTATATTAACATTGGTATAGCAACTGATGACAACTCAAACAATTGTAGACTCATAAATATTGCTTTTATATTATTTGTTTAGCTATTTTTTTATTTTTCGCATGCATAATTTTGTGTTTGTGCACTTATTTTATTTTATTTTTTTTTGCCTGAAAAAAAAATAATCAAAACAATTTTAACGATCCCATCATGAGAATTTACTTTTTGCCACCTAACAAACAAAATTCAATTTTTATATTAAGTAAAGTGGGTAATTTTTTTTCAATTTTGCCTAAACAATCTATCATCATTTCTTCTTGTTTTAAATACAAAGAAACGTTAGATACATTCACATCATCATCTCTATGGATACTTTTGCGTTCTCCTTCCTCTTTTTCTTTTATCGTCGTCGTTGTCGACTCTTCTGGTATTTTTCTTTTTCAACGCAAAGAAG